TCTAACCTAGAAAAAGTGTAGTTATAAAATATTTGACACACAGAATCCATGGTATGAAGTTAAAAATTTCCAAATTGTCATTGTTTTAAATCAATACTAAATTTAAAAAGAAACACAATGATTTTAAATAGCAAAATAATGCCTATACTTGGACTGGGGTAAAGTTGGGGTAGGGGCAATAGGATATACTAAGCTCAAAAGAAAAGAGAGGGAGAAAGGGAGAGATGCAAGCATCTAACTAAGGAAAGTGAAGCCTTTTAAAGATAATAAAAATCAATGTCAAGTTGAACTGACAGAAATGAGTAGTGAGACTTTTTTTTATTATCCCCAAAGAATTATAATTTGGGTAGAGGAAAAAGCTATAGGTGATATAAATTGTCAGACCATTTTCTAAAGCATTTGTTACTGTGCTCTACAAAACCATAGTAGAAATGTTAATTAGTCAATTAGTTTGAAACTTATGATCCTGCAAACTAAAATACCCCTCCCACAAAGAGTGTTCACAAAGAGAATCACTGGTATGAGAAGAGACAGACATTTGAATTTAATGTATTCAACACTCTACTGAACAACAGACAAATAAACCTGCAGGTGATTCCAATAATGGAAAAGTTTTTAAAATGCCATGCATACTACCACAGTTTGATATAAAATTATATAACTTTCCATAATTATTACTTTTGTATCTAAAAGAGAAGACAACCAAATGTTTCCTTAGACAAGAGAAGTAGAGAAAACTCGAAAGTAGTTAGTCAGCTGTGTTCCAGAAACTGAGCAGGACCCTGTGGGGCTCCTAGGCACAAAATTCTTTCTGTGCCCCCCATTTCTTGTTTGTAGGAAAGAGGCTTAATTCAACCTTCATGACATTCCCCTGAGTTCCAAAGGGCAGGTTCAAACAGTTGCTAATCAGGGAAGGGAGGGGATGCAGAGACAAAGGAGAAGCAGTCAAGAAACAATAGGGCCGCCTTGGGGCAGAATCCTGGTTCCTCCTCAAGAGATACATATAACAATATCTTTGAGCTCTTCTGTAGAACCAACCCCCACCCCCCCTGCCAAATGGAGGATGTTAACTACTTGATGAAGCATTCTTCATTGCAGAGAGAAGGTCATAGTTCGATAACCTGCAGAACCACAGAAGCCTATCACAAGACCACCAAATGATTTCTGGATTGAAGGAATGCAGGCCCTGCATGCACACTGATTCTTATCAGCAACACTGCCCCTTGAACCATTACTATAAGACTCCTTACAACCCCACCCCCAGGTGGGGACACACACTTTTGAGGGCATTAGTCCACTGTGGGCCCCTATCCCTGGCAAAAGAATAAAGCTATTCCTTTATACTTCACCCAAAACTTAGTCTCCGAAGTTCAACTTGGTGCCGGTGCACTGAGGCCGGGTTTTGGCAACACTGCCACCTTGGGGCATTCCTTTCCTTCTTTTATCTGCTCAAATTGACCTATGAAATTGACCTCAGATTGACCTCAGAGCTATGAAACCTCTCTGAGCACCCCATTCAAAAACCAGCCTGAATACTTCTCTCCATTGATCAAGTATAAATTGACTGAGGCCAGGGACGTGTTTTGCCTTATTTCCCACAGTATTTTGTGGGAGTGGGATAATCTGAAATTTTAAAAGGGTGGACAGGGAAAGCCTCTTTGAGAAGGTTACACTGGAACAAAGACTTGAAGGAGATGAGAAAGCTGACCTTGTGGCTATCTGAGGGGGTGAAGGGTAGGAGAAGGGAAACTTTAAGTCTAACCTGAGCAAGCCTGATGCGTTTGTGGAAAGGCAAGGAAGCCAAGTGAGCAAGGGGAAGAGTAGTAGGAGAGTAGGTCAAGAGTTGCTAAAGGGGTCAGGATTTGGGACTTTGCTTTTATTGAGATAAGAAGTTATTCAGGTTGGATCAAAGGTGTGAAGTACTTGATCTGCATTTTAAAGGGATTACATTATGGCTTTTTGAGAATAAATCAGAAGAGAGACTCACATTTTAAGAGTATCCCTCTGGCAATTACGCTGAGAATAAATTTAAGAAGGACAAGAAATAAAGCAAGGAGACCAATTAAAGGGCTGTAACAAAACAGCAGAGGAGGGCTTCCCTGGTGGCACAGTGGTTGAGAGTCCGCCTGCTGATGCAGGGGACACGGGTTCGTGCCCTGGTCCCGGAAGATCCCACATGCCACGGAGCGGCTGGGCCCGAGAGCCATGGCCGCTGGGCCTGCGCGTCCGGAGCCTGTGCTCCGCAACGGGAGAGGCCACAACAGTGAGAGGCCCGTGTACCGCAAAAAAAAAAAAAAAAAAAGGAAAAAAAAAAAAACCAGCAGAGGAGAGAGGATAAGGGCTGGAATCCAGGTGGTAGCAATGAAGATGCTAAATCTGGCAGGATATGCTCATGAGATTGGGTGTGCAGTGTGAGTGAAAAGAAACAAATCAAAGATGGTGTATGGTTTAGGGCTGGAGCACCTGGAAGAACAGAGTAACCATTTACTAAGAAGGAAAGGACAGATGGGAAAACACCAAAAGTGTAGTTCTAGGATTGTGACCCTTATTAGAAATCTAGGTGGATATATCAAGTTAACTGTTGAATCTAGGAGTCTGGAGTTAAGAAATGGAGATAGAAGTCTGGGAATCATGAGATGATGTTTACAGCCATATGGACATATGAGATCAACTACAGAGAAAGAATGGATAGTGCCTAGACTACATCTAGGATTACGCTCCGGGTCAGAGCAACAAGAGGCTGTGGAGATGAGGAACGAGCAAAGGAAGCTAAAAAGGACCAGCTGCTGAGGAAGGAAAGAAGCAAGAGGGGATAGTGTACCCAAAGCAAAGTGAAGAAAATCTTCCAAGAATGTGCTTGATACAAATTCTCCACAGGTTACCTTACTAAATTCATCCTACTCATCCTTCAGAGAAGGTCACTTTTTTGATAAGCCCTCTCTGACCAGTCCTGCTTTAGATAGACGGTCCCCCTCTGTGTCCCTAAATCACAGCGTGGGCCTCAATTATAAGACTTATCACATTTATGACTTCAGCTCCACTTCTCTGCCCTTTCTTTCCCCTCAGAAATGCAAGTTCCATGAGGGCCAGAAGCTTCACCAGAATGCTGGAATCTAGTGATATCTCTGGCAAATCAGGAGGAAGTTACATTTATTGACAGCTTATGGTGTAGCAGGCAACATGTCAATACCTTTACTCAGGTGTTTGAAAATTGTTAGTAAAAAAAAAATGAAGGAAGTACTGAATGAATAGCAGAGGTAACAGATGATAGAAAAGGCAACTCAGTACACAGGTAGAACCCTGGAGTGAAGACCCACGCATTAGGGCACCACAGCTTAATAGCAATAGCAACAAGACTACTCAGCTAATCCTTCTTGCTCTCATCAAGCAAAATTTTTGAACATAATTTTGTTTCCTTTACAGATTTTCCTGTGGAGTTAGGAAGTGATAACTAGCAAGCACAAATATCTGTTCTAACTGGCTGTTGCATATCTCACTGTGCATGAATAAATTAGCATACATTTTTAGACATTGGTCTAATGTAAATTTGGTTGGTTTGTTTCCTTTTGGACTTCCAGGGATGATCATTCTGCTTGTTTTTCGTTTTTCAAGTGCCAAAATCATGTTGTGTGATCAAGATGGGAATGACCCAGGCAACTGCAAGAGATTGTGATACAAGAAACCCAGGGCATGCTTACTGTATGACTGACTGTCAAAGGAAAATATTGATTTCCATCTATTTTTATCTCTTGTTGACACACAGTAATGGTCACAGTCAAGATTCTGGCATGGACTGGGTAGAGATTGTTATGCAATGAACTGAGCAAAAAATTATTTTTTGTGGTTGCTTGAAATATGATCCATTTTTCTGTTTGAATTTATTCCCTAAACTGAAAAGATAGAATCCTAGAGCCATACGAACACATTCCAGGTTTAAACCTAACATTTGTTAGTGTAGCCAATCTTACTAAGCTTGATCAATGCGTGAAGCTCTGACAAATTACGGTTTGTAGCCCTTTAAAGATCAAACTTGACTGTGTTGACACAGCTAAGGTAATTTATTCCTAAGGTCCTGAGTGGGCTTCGATTTGGTCTCCCTCTAAGATACCTGCATCATCTCTAAGTTCAACAGAGTCAAAGAAAATTTTGGATGAAATTATTGGATAAATGGTATCAGGTGGATAAAACCTTTGCCATGGTTATCATGTTTTAAAATGTATTGGACCGTGATACTTTCTCTATTTTTATTGACATCAGGCAGATGAGAATTCACAAGTATATAACTCCTTGTTACTAACCCATCTATCAATTTCTATAACCAAGCTAATAATCCCTTTGTATTTTTATGTCCTAAGTATATGCAAAATCTAAATCCTCTTCCTGCCTTCCAAGACAACCAGTCACCTGGCAAGAGACTGATGCAGCCAAGTTAGCCATGTTTCTGATTTTGGAAACAACCTATCACCTAGATTTTTCTTTAGAATAGTGTCTTCTTGAATGGACAGAACATTTACATTATGTTAGAATTTGCCAGGCTCTATGTATTACAATGCTTTGTATACTGTGTTTAACAGCTATTTTCCCAAGACTCATTTTGAGAGTATTTAATCCCATGCACGGCTCCTTAGTCTTCAGCCTACCAGATCCCAGCTTTCTAACGCTATCACACTGGCCTTTGGTGCTGGGGTCCTACCTTGCCCTGTTCCTGAGGATATGGTTTGATATTTACTCACACAAAATAAAAGCAGGGAAGAACATGGGAAGTTTTCTTAGCAAAATTTTATTTTATAAGCAAATTTCAATTTTATGAACTATATTGATAATAGAAAAAAAGGGTTCTTTGACTCATCAATAGGATATGGGTTGAACAACAGAGAGTTCTTGAATAGAATTACTGTGAAAGTAGAAACACACTCAAGTTGGACGTGGAGTTAGGACTTTTTACAGTTCATGTCTTAACTGTATGCTAAACCATTTTTATTTTATGGTATGTATCTTACCTTGACTTCCACATGTGCCATCAGTACTGCAAAATTGGTTAGGTGGTTACAAGAGCATGTAGTATGTGTCTTATTTGTTGTCAGGAGCCGACAGCCTTGGGTTGACCAATAACCTGTCATTGTGCGCTTGGAATAGCTCCAAAATGAACAGTTAGGATTGAAGTTTTCCTCAGATTGCTACAGGAAAAAAACATCAACAAAGTCAATAACTACTTTTTGATCATGTAAGTTAGGTAGGCATTTTCTTTACATCTAACACAACTTCACACTATGTTTCAATTTTTGTGGAGAGGTCTACCAGAGTTTTCATATTAAGTGGGGCTTATCAATTCTAAGCAAATTTGAATATATGTTATTTATTCCTCCTGATTAGAGGTGAATTCATTTCTCAAAAGTAATATTGAAGGAATACTAGTATCATTGTCTCAGAATCACATCAATTAATTTATACTGCAAAGCAAAGAATTGCTCTATACAATGAACTTCTGATAGCATGGTTTTAAAAAAATCTTTGTTCAATTTACAATACAATCCTTGCATATACATAAAAATATATCTACACACAAAGACATAACTACTTGTAACATCAGTTGAGCTATGCTGAGTTCCACTGAACATATTGCTAGCTCTTTTTAATTACAGAGAAGCATTTATAAATCCATCTATGAATGTTGTTACCTTAAATATATACAGATACAAGAATTATTCTCCTCCCTCATTTTGGAAAAAAAATCACTAATCAGTTTATAGACAATGAATTGCTTTATGTCATAAAATAGGGAAAAAGAAAAAGGAAATTAAGACACTTCATGCTCTTGTTATAACAAATATAGAAAATGTGGACAAAAAACTTCACCTGCCATTTTTTTTACCTTGATGTGTTTAACAGTGAACACCACAGGATCAGCCAAATAAACCTTATTACTGAATTCTTTGTTTATTGCTGCTGTAATAACTGGGGAATTGACGATAACAGAATGATTGGTGGACATAGCCTCTGTTCCCAACTTCATGCTGGCATTCTCCGTGGACAAATAAGGACCCAAGTTGTTATACAGGACAAAGGCCACTCTGATCTCTCCTAAAATAAGTACATATAAATTGGGAAGAAACTGATTAGCTTGTACATCCCACTTAAATTAGAGAGTTCTAATTAGATTGTAATCAAATCTGTATAATATATATATATTCACAACAAAATTCAAATATTCATTTCAATCAAAGTGCCAAGTCATTAATGAGGAAAGTCAAATGATACTGAAACAACTACGTATCAGTATTTTAAAAAAATATGAACCTCAATCCCTAACTTATTCCATACTCAGAACTTAATTCAAGATGGATCACAGTCCTAAATATAGAAATCAGAACCAGAGAGCCTCTGGAACAAAATATAGGATACCTTTGTGATCTTGGGAAGGCAAAGATGCCTTGGATAGGACTCAAAAAACACTAACCATAAAATAAAAAATGGTAAACTAAACTTTATCAAAATTGAAACTTTGTGCCTATCAAAATACAGCATTAAGAAAATGAATAGGCAAGCCACAAACTAGGAAATATATATACACATATGACTCAAATATATAAAGCATTTCTGCTACTCAACAGTAAAATTATAAAAAACATACTAAAATGGAAAAAGACATAAAAACACCCTTTAAAAATAGATATATAAAAAGCTAAATGGGACTTCCCTGGTGGCACATTGGTTAAGAATCTGCCTGCCAATGCAGGGGACATGGGTTCGAGCCCTGGTCTGGGAAGATCCCACATGCTGTGGAGCAACTAAGCCTGTGCGCCACAACTACTGAGCCCGTGTGCCACAACTACTGAAGCCTGCATGCCTAGAGCCCATGCTCTGCAACAAGAGAAGCCACTGCAATGAGAAGCCCGCATGCTGCAATGAAGAGTAGTCCCTGCTAGCCACAACTAGAGAAAGCCCATGTGCAGCAACAAAGACCCCACACAGCCAAAAATAAGGATATAAATAAATAAATTTTTAAAAAAGCTAATAGACACATAAAAATTAACATCGTTAGTAATTAGGGAAATAAAAATTAAAATCATATTGAGATACCATTTCATACCCACTAGGATCTCTGAAATCCACACTATAAAATACTAGCCACACTAATGTTAGTAAAAATGTGGAACAAATGAAATTCTGCATACTACTGGTGAGAGTGTAATATGGTTCAACTACTTGGAAAAATGTTTGGCAATTTCTTACAAAGTTAAACATATATCTACCCTTCCTAGATACATGAAAATATATATCCACAAAGAAAAAATGTTGTATAAGAATGTTTATAACATCCTTATCCAAAACAGCTCCAAACTAGAAACAACTCAAAAATCTATCAATAGGAGAGTAAATAAATTATGGCTTATTAAAATAATAGAGTTACTATACATCAATAAAGAACAAACTAATGATAGATGGAGCATCATGACTGAATCACAAAAATATTATACTGAGATAAAGAATACAGACAGAAAGAATACATACTGTATGATTCCAGTTACATGAAGTCTAAGAACAGGTAAAATTTGTCTTTAGAAATAGTAATGAGAAGAAAGTAGTTCATCAGGTGGGGAGATGGGGTGAGAAGAGTGAAAAGAGGTATCAGGACATTTTCTGGGTAATACATGAGATTTTCATCTTAGTTTATGTGGTGTCACAGAAGAATGTACAACTGTCACATTCATCAAGCTAAACACAAGATATGTGCATTTTATTTTATGCAAATTACAACCAAAACAAAACAAAGATTCAAAATCTTTACCTGTGGTTGCCAAGGGGGAGATGGTGTGAGGGAGGGATAGATTGGGAGTTTGGGATTAGCAGATGCAAATTATTATATATAGAATGGGTAAACAAGGTCCTATTGTAGAGCCCAGGGGAACTATATTCAATATCCTGTGATAAACCATAATGGAAAAGAATATAAAAAGAATGTATATTATGTATAACTGAATCACTTTGCTGTACAGCAGAAATTAACACAGTATTGTAAATCAACTATACTTCAATAAAATAAATTTAAAAAAAATCTTTGTCTTAAACTTCAATTATCATGCTCTTTTAAGATCACTATCTCCATACCTCCTTCTACCTTATTTTTTTTCCCTTATGGTGATCTTTTACAAGTAATCCTCTGTAAAGTTAACCTTCTTTTAGGATGTTTTTAAAATTTTGTGTCATTTCCTTTCTTAAAATAAGTCAAGCCCTATGTTTTACTTCCAGTATAAATTCATTTTGGTGGATCCCCAAGAGACAGGAACTGCACTGACCACTGTGGTAACTAAGACGAGGAAGCCCCAGTCCTTATCCCTGAATCTTAGAGTCAAGTGGGTATAAAGACAATAAATTTTTTTTTCTCCATTTTTTTGAGGAGGAAGGGAGCTGTCTTGCTCTTGCTCTCATGGAGACCATCTCCTAGAGAAAGAGTCAGACAATAAGCAGGCAACTTAAAAATAATAATAATAAATAATAATATAATTTCATATAATGGTAAGTAAAAATGCTATGAAGAAGCGCTGGCAGAAAATGGCTAATGGGAAAATAGTGATTGGGAAAGAGTAGTCCACCTTCGAGAACATAGGAAAAGCTTTCCTGAAGGGTTAAGATTTATAATGAGCAGTGAATGACAGAGAAGTTTCTATAAAAAGAAATATAAAAGATGCATTCCAGAAGCAAGAAAATGCAAACATCTGATGAAGGAACACTCTTGCTGTGTTTGAGGAATAGAATCAAGACTGAATTAGGGAACCCTGTGCACTGTAGATAAAAATATAATTGATATAGCCACTATGGAAAATAGTATGGAGAGTCCTCAAAAAATTAAAAATAGAACTGCCATATGATCAGCAATTCTACTACTGCGTATTTATCTGAAGCAAACAGAAACACTGACTTGAAAAAACCTATGCACCCTCATTTTCATTGCAGAATTATTTATAATAGCCAAGACATGTAAACAACCTAAATGTCTACTGATGGATGAATGGATAAAGAAAATGTTATATATATAATTATACATAGAGATATAAAATGGGGAATGGAATATTATTCAGCCATAAAAGGGAAATTTTGCCATTTGCTATAACCTGGATGGACCTTGAGGGCATTATGCTAAGTGAAATAAGTCAGATAAATATCTCACTTACATGTGGAATCTTACAAACAAACAAAAACATAAAGAAAACAGACTGCTAGTTGCTAGAGGTGAGGAGTGGGAGTAGGCAAAATGGGTGAAGAAGGTAAAATGTAAAAACTTCCATTTATAAAATAAACAAGTCATGGGGATGTAATGTGTGGCATGGTGACTACAGTTAATATTGGGTTGGTCAAAAAGTTCGTTTGGGGTTTTCTATAATATCTTACGGAAAAACTCGAACAAACTTTTTGGCCAACCCAATAATACTGTGTTGTCTATTATGAAAGTTGACATAAGAGTACATCTTAGGGCTTCCCTGGTGGCGCAGTGGTTGAGAGTCCGCCTGCCGATGCAGGGGACACGGGTTCGTGCCCCGGTCCGGGAAGATCCCACATGCTGCGGAGCGGCTGGCCCCGTGAGCCATGGCCGCTGAGCCTGCGCGTCCGGAGCCTGTGCTCCGCAACGGGAGAGGCCACAACAGTGAGAGGCCCACGTATCACAAAAAAAAAAAAAAAAAAAAAAGAGTACATCTTAAAAGTTTTCCTCTCAAAAGAAAAAAAAAAATGTAACTATGTATGGTGATGGATGTTAACTAGACTTACTGGAGTGATCATTTCACAATATATACAAATATCAAGTCATTATGTTGTACACCTGAAACAAACATAATGTGATATGTCAATTATATCTCAATTAAAAAAAAAGAATCAAGACTAGACTGTCTGGATCACAGAGAGCATGCTAAAACAGACGTGAGGGCTTCCCTGGTGGCGCAGTGGTTGAGAGTCCGCCTGCCGATGCAGGGGTCATGGGTTCGTGCCCCGGTCCGGGAAGATCCCACATGCCGCAGAGCGGCTGGGCCCGTGAGCCATGGCCGCTGAGCCTGTGCGTCCGGAGCCTGTGCTCCGCAGCGGGAGAGGCCACAACAGTGAGAGGCCCACGTATCGCAAAAAAAAAAAAAAAAAAAAAAAAACAGACGTGAGGTGGAGCAGCTGAGGCAGGAAGGAAGTGGGCTGGGGAGCATGTGGTAGGCCTGTTAAGTCACTTGATTTCATTCTAAGCATAACTGGAGGTGAACTGGTCAGACTCATGTTTCAGGAAGAACACTTTGTCAACAGGACATACTGTTGTGGGGCAAGAGTCAAAGAAGGGAAACCAGTCAGGAAGCTAATGCAGGAATCTGATTTCGTGTTATAGAAAATCTTATTCCACACTCATGTGTATAAAATTGATGACTAATAAGGACCTGCTGTATAAAAAAATTAATTAAATAAAATTCAAAATTTTAAATAAATAAATAAATAAGAGTAAAAAAAAAAAAGGAAAATCTTACTGCTGCCTCAAAATTCACAGTTAATTTAGCAACATAGTACTATTTATAAATTCAGTCTTATAAGATTTCCAACACTTATAAAGAATTTTGTTCTGCTGGTAACAAACATAATTTGTTTTTCTTGATATTATTTAACAGTCTCTTCTTTTTTCAAAACTATTTACCTTGTAATATGAAAAATCAGCTTTCAGTTGGTTGCTACAACCTGAAGTCATCTTCCTATCACCTAGCAGGTTAAAGGATCTCACTTCCTTAGCAAAAAATATGTTTAAAAAATTTTAGGGACTTCTGTAAAGTGGCACGGTGGTTAAGAATCTGCCTGCCAATGCAGGGGACAAGGGTTCGAGCCCTGTTCTGGGAAGATCCCACATGCTGCGGAACAACTAAGCCCGTGAGCCACAACTACTGAGCCCGCAAGCCACGACTACTGAAGCCTGCACGCCTAGAGCCTGTGCTCCGCAACAAGAGAAGCCACTGCAATGAGAAGCCCGTGCACTGCAATGAAAAGTAGCCCCCCTTCACCGCAACTAGAAAAAGCCCACGTGCGGAAATGAAGTCCCAGTGCAGTCAAAATATAAATAAAGAAAATTAAAAAATAATTAATATTAGTGAGGCTTCAGACATACTTTCTCTGTGGGATTATTTATTTACTTAATTTTAATCATATTCAATGAATAAAACCTAGTACTAAATCAATCGATATCTACCAGTTCCATTACCCAAAAGCATCTCCTTACATTTGTATTTTTTATATGCTTTGCAAAGGAAAATCATAGAAACACCCTCAAAAAGAAGTTAATAAAGAAAAAACACATATAATTTTAAAATTACAAGTAAAATTTCCATTTGAAATTTTAGAAACAAAATCTGTCAACTTGGTGAGAGTTACTCCTTTTAAGGAAAAAAGTCAGAACATCTGGATTTTGTTGTTTATTAATTTCCCTTACATTCAAGTTTCTGATATTTTTCTACAACTGAAAATTAACAATTTCAAAATCTAATTGAGAATTTTGTAGAGCAAATATCATTGCAATATTGTTGGTGCAGGAGCTAAGAAAGAGGAGGAAGAGGAGGTGAAGAAAGAGAACAGTGTAGTGAGAGGAGAGGAGAGCTTTTAGATAGCAGACCTAAAATTTGAAGCCAAGATGCAATGAATTAATGACAAGTTCAATTCCATCAAGCTTAATAAATAAATTCTAACCTACCATTTCGGCCATTTTGTTTTAGAGTATTTGCAGAGAGCTGGATAGTGCTTCCATGACCCATGTTTTCTGGAAACTTTAGGTCTTCTAAGTTTCCTTCAGTGCTCAGCCTTGCAACCTCCAATTCTATTAATGGCAAAGACATAATCAGTGGTCGTTGAGAAACATGACAAGTTTAAGATAATCTAATTATTGAAATATTTCTGAAATCAAAACACTGGAATTAATGTTCTGTTTGCCATACTTTATAGTACTTCAGTCTTCTATTTAGAAGTTTTTCTAGTGTTTTAATTTTTTTCAAAATAAAGCAAATAAAAGCTATTAAAATCAGGTAGATAAGAATACAAGGATAGCAATTATAAAGTCTAGACTTTAAAACTCAAGCTCAAATCCTTACAATTTGTCATTGACTATAAGTTTACTTTCAAAATGTTATCTTTATTTTATGAATTAAGTGAAAATCCTTTTATAATCTAGAGCTGTACTATTATGTCAATATTGACTTATCTTTAAATGTAATAAGTTTGAAATAGCTTTATCAAATGTTCTGAAATAAAACTGTCAGCTACATCCTTAGACACATTAAAAATAGATTTATACTCTTTATGAGCCAATAACACAATTATCAAAAATTGTTTTATCACCTTCATGTAAATGACTGGCTTCTTTATAGTTTATAATTCAGAGACATTCTTATTATAACTGAAGTGACCCATAAGGATAAAATTTTAAATACTACTGTACATACATAGATACACACATACATAAAAACTGAAAAAAAAAATACATGGACCTCATTGTAAGTGATCTCAGGCTAATATATTCAATATTGGAATGTCCTTAGGAGGATACATACATGATTATGAGGATACTTCTAAGCTAATGATAGGTGATACCCTCCTAATTATAGAAAAAGGATAACTTATCTCCACTGAAATAAAGTATCACTCATGATATCTGGTCTGCTATCGATGATACTTTTTTCTTTTCTCTCTTCTGCTGAACAAGATGATAGCTTTTTCTTGTCCCTCTCTGGCCCTTCTGTAGAACAAAGGCCACTTACGAATATTGTCTGTGTTCTCCCTGACGATGTCAGTCTTCAAAAGGTTATCAGCCAGCACAAAAGCACTTTCCTCCACAGTGTCAAGCAACATGGTGGCTGCACGTAGCTGATCACTTGTAGTCAGGTCTCTCCAGGCATTCAAGGCTTGTGGCTGGAGGAGGTTGTTAACTGTCTCGACCATTGCCTACGAAAGGATGAACAGAATGACTGAGGTCTCTAGTGAACCCGCAGGGCTGTCAGAAATCCAGGCATACATGTTGCCCAGCAAGTAAGGATCAGTGGTGTGCATGAGTTCAGTATTGTCCCAGCCTCCCCTGTGACATGCTGCAGTGGAAGCATTCATTATTTTGCTCTGTAAGACCCTAGCTGAGATTTTGCAAGGCAACAGGAAAAGCTGCTTTTGTTCTGAAGGACAACAAATAGATCCATGGTTGCTTCTTAAAATCAATAGCAAAGGCTTCAATAAGACTATAATTACATAGTTAAATTATTTGGTTGGTGAACTGTTGGCAAGTAATTTAAACTAATACTTTTATCACATCACCACAAAAAAAATGATTTTCTCTATACATCACCATAAAACTAGATGCTAAACATAACAGAAATCAAAAGGATGACTATAGACAGAACAATACAAGAATCTGTCGCCTATAGGTTGAAAGACTTTGAGCAAACCAATTTTTTTTCTTAGTCAGCTAGTAAAATGTCAGGATAGGGGAAATATCAAAGCATACATACTCCCAGGGGCTTTGGATGTGTTATGTGTGGAGAGAAACCTTCGTGCTGTTTATTACTAGGAAGGGGAATAAACAGTTGGAACTTGCTACCTATGGCCCTCAGGTGTTTTTCCTTAAAAAAAAAAAAACAGCAGTAGGTACACTCACACATAGAGATAAGGCACCACATTTCTCTTTGCTTCATCCAACAGAATCATCTTTCTAGTTACAATTTATATATTTCCTGTGGTTAGCTCAATACTCCAGGTTACAAGAAAAGACAGTTCTTCCAATAAGGTCTTCTTAAGGTTTCACTCAAACATAGAGAATTGCAAAACAGAAAAATACAACACCGGCAGTTTGAAAGTGATCATCCTTGAACCTGTTGATTATCAAATACGCATCTAATCTGGAAATGAAGTTGAATAAACAGCCAACACAGGCAATTTCCAGGCAGCACATAGGTGTTTAGAAACAGGACTCACATTATTGACACTGTTGGCAGAGGGACAGGGAAAGACTGGAGAAATATCCATTACAGCTGCAGTGTTTTCTTCTGGCTGGTGTTTTTATAGTAACTAAGTAACAACTGTTAAAAATTCAGCTTCATAATGAAACACCTTGGCTGCCAATTAACACCAGCTTCAAAAACTAATTTGCCTTTTGATAAAAATTGTTTTTCTTGATATTTTTCCCAGCTATTCCAAGTTCTGGCCAAAAATCATCATCACTGGACTTTTATGTAAAATAGTTCTACTTGCAACTTGAGTATTTTGCATCATTTAAAAAAAAACCTCTCGAGTTTAATGACTGGTTATTTTCACATAGTATGCTTAGCTCTGTCACTTGTTCTGGGTTTAAAGCATGACCTAGAAGCCAGACAAAAGCATTTCTGGATCACAACAATCTGATCTGCTTTTCAGGAAGTTTTCTATGGGGTGATGCCAACAGGATATGCCAAAAAAAGGAGGTGCCAGATAGAAATCAAACAAAAAGAGGTTTAGGTATTTTCTGACGCCAAACAGAGGACACTGACCTCTTGAGTGTAAGGAAGTATTCTTTCTGGGATTAGATGATCCTCTGAATTCATTAGAAATGCTCTGAAAACCCCATATGAAACAGAAATTATGCCTGTGCTTTATGGAGCAGCCATTTTAATGTTAGTGAATAATCTTACATTGATTAATTTAAACCTTACCTCAGGGAAAAATTTTTGGGAATAATGCAATGTTTCTGTTCTGCTCTTTATTGCTTTTAATGTTTTAAATTTTAAAAAGGCAAAAGGAGGAAAGAAAGAAAAGAAAAAAGAAAAAGAAGCAACTATGGTCAACTCTGGGAATGTTCTAAATAGAAAACTGTTTACAACAGACTGCTTTAGCTAAAATACTGTCTTTAAATTGACAGCAAATAAATCAAACACACCCCATTATCTTAGTTTTGCAACTGAAAATGTATAAGGTGCAATATTTTTTCATAGTTAAACATTTTGTATACATTTCAACAACTGCATCTTCCCAAATAAAATATAGTCTTTAGAGAAGTTTTCTATTAAAGGCCAAAGGATTTCCAAGTTCATCACAGAAACGACAGACTTAAAATATGGCCCTAAATCCTGGGTGGCTTAAGACACAAATCTAATATTTATTTATTCATAAAACAGCACCTGTTATGATTGCCCAAGTACAACTGAAAGGAAATGTCAACACAAGAATTGAGAGAGAGAATTCTCTAGTGCTAAAATCAGTGTAGGATTTGGAACTACACCTGCTGAGTTTGTAACTGGACGCTGCCACTTTACTAATTGTGTGCTGTTGGGCAAGTTACTTCACTTCTCTGTATTCACCTATAAATTGGAGATGATAATATAATCATTTCATAAGGTTGCCTGGCTCATAATAAGTGTTTAGGTGCAATCTTTACTTCATTTGATATCGAAGTCCAGTGTGGGAAGAAAAGAGGTCTTCACTGAATAAAGCACAAGTCATACCCGATAATTGCAAAATATTCACACTGAAGTGAGATCTGGAAGGAATACCTCTTCTACAATGCAATCTTCATAAACAGACCTGTCACACAACTTTACTACTAAGGAACGGGAGGAACATGTGTATTAAATAGTTCCTAATGTGTGTTCCAGAGGCTTGAACTAACTGACCCGTTTTCTGCTAGTGACACAGCACAATTAAGTCAATCTTAATAGCTTTATAATTGATACAATTTGTGTAAGCTTTCCAAAGGTTGCTGATGTGTCCCTGTTACCAATTTAATGAAGGCCAATTAAATAGGCACAACTCTTCGATGGTAAAAGAATATATTTCGTTTTCCCTATATATTTTGCATTTATATATTTACCCATAAATAATGACATCTGGTAATTAAGTTTTCCATTTTTTTTTCTTTTTTGGTCAAACTACTTATTTCCATTGCTTTCGTTAGCTCAACAACATTTCTTTAAAAAACAGGTTGATTTTCATTGTATTTGGTTACAAAGAAATGAGCTTGACTACACTTAGAACCAAAGTTGAACAGGAAATATACAATGAATTTGATTAAAGTGAGGTGCTGTGGCATTACTTTAATGTCCAACAGCTCTCATTAATTTCTATTTTCTGCTATAATTTCTTTCTGACCTAAAATTTACATTCTATAGTTGGACAGAAATAAGATTGGTTCTGAATATATCTTAAAAAAATTTATATTCTCACCACAATGCCTTGATCCAGAAGGAAAAAACAAACAAACAAAAAACACCTAATGGTTTTGACATGTATAGACTGAAATAATCTAAATTTTGAGAAGTTAATTTAGTCAACAATATCTTTGCCAGAAGCTAAATGTTAATTCACTCCATTATCTTTTTTAAAACACTAGAAACTGAATAGGAGATGGACATTGGAAATGTACATTCTGGTTCTGCCACTAAATTTGTGTGCCTTTGAACAAACTGATGTTTTCTAACCAATCAACAACGTGTGAAATACAAAAGAAAATAAAACTCATCGTGTCTCAATTCGAGGGTGGTTAGGGGCATTCTACTATTAGATATTACTCTCCTCATTATACAATTTATGGCCTAGACTCTAAAGTCACTTTATTTTTTTAAGTCTTTATTGAATTTGTTACAATATTGCTTCTGTTTTATGTTTTGGTTTTTTGGCCAGGAGGCATGTGGGATCTTAGCTCCCTAGCCAAGGGATCGAACCTGGTCCCCCTGCGTTGGAAGGAGAAGTCTTAACCACTGGACCACCAGGGAAGCCCCTAAAGTCACTTTTGACTTTATAAAAATCAAATATAAATTAGGAAGTGTGAAAAGTCACTTAGATTCATACCAGGATCATGTACATAACATACCCTTCTGGACATATATTTGTATTACACAATATTATTGAAACTCTTAAGCAAATTCATTTGACTAATTTTACTCAGAGCGTATAATTGTAGTATGTTTGTTAAAAGATGTTATAAGCTGTATAATCACACTTTATATATTTCAAAAGGGAAGATGTACTTATTTGTTATAACTACTGTGAAAAATTTTGGAGAAAAACAGCTATATACCCTTCCAATAACAACTTTTGTCATTTTTCCAGAAGAATGTGCTTGTGAAATAGTCTAGGATTCCTTGGCAAGAATACATAAAAGGGAGCTTCCCTGGTGGTGCAGTGGTTGACAGTCCGCCTGCCGATGCAGGGACACGGGTTCGTGCCCCTGTCCAGGAAGATCCCACATGCCGCGGAGCAGCCGGGCCCGTGAGCCATGGCCGCTGAGCCTGCGCATCCGGAGCCTGTGCTCCGCAACGGGAGAGGCCACAACAGTGAGAGGCCCGCGTACCGCACAAAAAAAAAAAAGAAAGAAAAAGAATACATAAAAGCGTCCATGGTTGAAGTAAGTCAGAAAGAGAAAAACAAACACCGTATACTAACACATATATATGGAATCTAAAAGAACCTAGGGGCAAGACAGGAATAAAGACGCAGATGTAGAGAATGGACTTGAGGACACAGGGAGGGGGAAGGGTAAGCTGGGACGAAGTGAGAGAGTGGCATGGACATATACACACTACCAAACGTAAAATAGATAGCTAGTGGGAAGCAGCCGCATAGCACAGGGAGATCAGCTCGGCGCTTTGTGACCACCTAGAGGGGTAGGATAGGGAGAGTGGGAGGGAGGGAGACACAAGAGGGAAGAGATATGGGGATATATGTATAGCTGATTCACTTTGTTATACAGCAGAAACTAACCACACCATTGTAAAGAAATTATACTCCAATAAAGATGTTAAAAAAAAAAAAGGATCCATGGTGAAAAACGTATCAATTGCACTTCTTACTGAGGTGAGCCGTAAATCTTAAACTAGGTAAGCAGAACCACCTGGGAAACTTAGTTACCCTTCTTCCTTTGCTTGAAACCACTAGAATAAAGATCCAAATAGAATGAATGTCTTGTGAAAAGATATACAACTATACCA